CCAGTTAACATCATCCGCAGAGGGGGATTATGAGGCACTGATGTTTGTAAAGCGCTTTGATCTACGTGCAGGCAAGTTTCCATAGAGGGATGAAGGTTTGTCATTAATGTAATTGGTGAGGATGTGTTAGATTTTTTTTTTTCTTACAGCTTTTAAGCTTTTTCCAGGCGGTGCCTTCCTCCCATAGGTCATCTCCTCCTCCTCCACCGATGCGAGTGACAAGTGGTCTGTTGTGGGAATGTAGGCCTGGAGCATTATGGGTAATATACTGGGTTAATTGTTGTGGGGGCAGAAAAAAGGCGATATCAAAGGGATGCCACCTGATGATTTTCCTATTATCTCTGTCCCTAGACCGCAAGAGCCACGGCAGAGGTGTCATTAGCCAAGGCAGCTTGCAACTCATTAGCCTGGATTTTCAGTTCTTCTCCAGGGAACGTGGGCTTTCGCCGCAAGCCCTAACCTCAATTGCCTCATGCTGCCATCTATCTGGCCAGTTGAGGCACTGACTGACAGGCCCTGGATTCAATCCCCTGTTATTTGCCACTCGTGTTTATGTCGAGAGAGGGATCCCTCTGAAAACCTCTCCACGGTCCATTCCCTTCACCTTGCCCGCTTCCCCCTGGAGAAACTGGAGGGGGCTGATGTGCGGCTGCCCCCAGGAGCTCCTCCTGCTGTTGATGCATAGGGTGTGAGGGTCTTTGTGCTTTTCCAAGTGGCAAATTCTCTCCTTGCTGCTCTGGGTTTTTCTTTCTCTCTGCTGGTGTCACCTGATCTGGGCTTTGTCAATGTACAGCCGTGAGCAACCTGGGGAAGTGGCTGGGAACGGCAGGGAACAGAAAGTACCTGGGAGAGGGCCTGGAGCAGAGAATCGATTGGCTGAGGGGAGAGGAAGGATGGAGTGGGATGCCCAAACCTTTCCTCCCCTTGTGCTAGGGTTGGGGCAGCTACTCATTGGGCCCCTGAGGGCCGCAGCAAATGTGCATTTGCAGTCGTCCTCTAATGAGGCTCGAGGAGGATCTAGCTCCCACGTGCTCCATTTTCACCTGGGCAGCCTGACTGCTCAGACTGAGATGGAGCGGCGGGGCTCGCTGGGCACTGCCCCATGTGTTAAAGAAAAGGGCAGCTGCAGGTCCCGCTGTGGGATGCTGGGTCCGCGTGGGCCTACCCGGGGCAGGGAGAGCCCTTGCATACCCACTGCCCGTCATTCCTTGGACTCGGCATTTGTAAAGGTGGTTGTGCTCTAGCGGCAGGGGGCATTCATTGGCCTTGCTCACCCAAGGCCAATTTACTTTCTCTGTGGAGGCCCTTGGCTCGTCTCAGGCTGGGAGCAGACCCCTGAAGGGGTGGTCTCCCTGCCCCATGCTGTAAGCATGTTCTCCCACCTGAGACCAGCTCCATCTGGCTCCTACAGGTAAAATCATGGGGTTGCTCCTTTCCAGCATCCCTGACAAAGTTCTGGCTGCAGATCATGAGGGCACCAGTGACAACAGGGTAACCTGCTGGCTGGCCACTCAACGTGGTTGGTTGCCCAGGATGCTGCTAACTACAGTTTGTGGGCAGGGACACTGGGGGGACCCTTTAATACTATCCCCTCACTCCCCCCTCCAGACACACCTCCCCTAGCTCTGCCTGGCACCACCCTTCCCTGAGCCCACTTTTGACCAGTCTGTCTCCACTCCCTGGGCCATTCTGGGCAGGAGTCCCAGCCTCTCACCTCCTTTTGCTTGTCCCTGGGACACCCCTGCGTGAGGGGGAAGGGGAGCCAGAAGCAAGCCCCGGATGAGCCGGGAGCCTGGAGATCAGGAATTGTGATTGCCCTGCCATAGCCAAATCCAATGTGGTTCAGAGGTGACGGGGGAGCGAAGGTCTCAGCGGTGCTGTGCTGTAACCCCACGGCAGAGCAGGCAGCCGGGCAGATCGGCCTCTTTCTCGTCATTCCCTTAATTGGATGCATCATGTGTCTCGCTGCATTTCCTCCCACCGAGCCCCTGTCAGGGAGACCTAATTGGGGCCTTCTCCGATGCTCGCTGTGCGCTAATGAGCCATCTATGCTTCAGAGACTGACCACTCGGTGTTGCCTGCTGCCTGCCAGGCAAGGGAAAGTGAGTTAGGAGAAGGAGCCCGGGCGACCTCCCTGAAATCAGCCTTCTTTCTTCCCCCACCATCCGTTGGACCCACCTCACTGGTCATGCAGCAGACGGTGCTACGAGCAGGTTAGGTATCTCTCTGAGGTACTTATCTGGCCCCCAGCACCGTGATGTCCGAGTGCCTCACAGACATTGGTGTATTTATCCTCACAGCACCCTTGGGAGGCAGGGCAGTGCTGTTATCCCCATTGTACAGATGGGGAAGCTGAGGCCCATCTCCTCAAAGGTATTCGGTACCTAAGCCCATTTGAAGGTCAGGGCCTCAGTAGGGTGACCAGATAGAAAGTGTGAAAAATCAGGGGTAATAGGTGCTAATATAAGAAAAAGTCCTGAATATCAGGACTGTCCCTATAAAATCGGGACATCTGGTCACCCTAGGCCTCAGTTCCACAGGAAGTCTGGCAGAGCCAGGGTGTCCCAAGTCTTAGGCTCCTGCCCTAACCACTGGGCCATCCTTCCCCTCTGCCCAGCTAACAGAGGGACGTCTGTGTCAGTGTCCCCTCAGCTCTATTCAGTTAACGAGGCCTGGCTCCCCAATCTCAGGTCTGATCAGTTCTAGTGAATTAGGGGCAGGAGCTGGCCTAAAGCCCTGGCAGCCTCTGTCCTCACAGAACACACATGGCCTGGGCAGCAACGGGTGTACCACACCTCCAGGAGGGCACGCTTCATGCCCCATTCTGAAGGAGCCACGTCTTTGGGGGAGAGGGGACTCCAGTCTCCAAGGTGCACTCAGCCCTGGGCCTCTCTGCTGAGGCTGCAAACAGCAGGGCCCGTGAGTTCCAGCTGGGGTAATGGATTTTGTGCTGCGAACCTCCTGTCCGCTGGGACATTGGCTAAGGTCCACCATTGCATGGAAGGCCACCCAACAGGTATCAGATGGTGCCATTTTAGTCCCTGGATTTGAAGCAATAACCTGACGGTGCAAGGGAACCGTATCCCATTCCCAGCCAGGGCCATGCTATTGGACAGTCTCTATTTTAGCTTCATACACAGTAAGCCTGTTCCTGGGATGGAGGAGTACCACCATCCATCACTGGTCTATCACCTTGTCTTTCCCTGGTACTCTGGGTGGGGCTTCATTCTATTACCAGGTTCCTTCCTTGCTTTCCCTGGGGTTTGCTGTCTTGGTGTGAGGAGTTTGGTTTAATATAACCTCCTCTAACAGGGAGTCTCTTAGGGCATTGGTGCAGGTCCCCTCTTTCCTGGAAGGCAGCAGGGGCTGCAGAGTGTACATTGGGAACTGCAGTGCCTGGCTGTAGTCTACAAAGGCAGAGATGCAGTTAACATAGCAGCAAATTTGTGATTACGTAGAAAACTCTATGGCGAGGTTGCTATGCGGTTGTGATAGTTCCCAATTCGCAAGGTCTTAGAAGGGCTTTCAGACACAGACCTTCCCCTTCCAGCCAGACTCTGTCTTAGGACAGATGCCGACTGTCTTCTTGATGGGGACGTGGTTGCTGTTTGCTCTTACAAAGTCAGACGTGTCCCCGTGGATCACGGACATCCTGCTGACTGAACTGTCACATGTACAGGCAAAATCCTCCAAGCTTAGCAGATCAACAAGCCAGCTGTTTTCTACTGCGAGGGGGTCTGGGTGTAGGTTTCCATAATTCTCTGACTGTTGGCAAGGAAAGGCATCACCCTGGCTGTGGGTCGCTGTGACCTCCCGGTCAAACTATGGCTGAGGAGAGGGATCGCTCTGCCGGTAGGTCTCCAAAGCTCTGAGCTTGCTGACTTTCTTTTTGCCCATGGGCCATTGCTACGTGGGTCAGAGCAGTGCTGTCATTCATCACTGGGCCTAACTGAAACCCCTGGCTGTGAGCCTGCTGCTCCTCTCTAAGCTTGAAAATTGAGGCCAAGGAGCTTCCCTGCAGGACCTATGCTTGGGGGGAGAGGGGGGGTTGTCCTCTCTTTATGTTTTCTTTAAAGCTCCGAGTCATTCTAATGATCTAGTATTTCATGCACTTTACAGAGCAAGAAGCTGTAGCAACAGCTGTGTCATGAATCCTTAGGCTACCCTCCGTGTACTAGACTGTCTTCTGCTTGTCGTCTTAAGCACAGTGAAACAAATCTGCTTGAGGAAGGGGCTTGTAGCTTAGTATAGAATGGGAATATCAACAAGCCACTTCATCAGCAACTCGCTCTTAGAATAACAGTGATCATCCAGGGTCTCTTTCCCACTAACGCTAATGGGCCTGACCCAAAGCCCATTTCAGGCTTTCCATCAGTTTCAGTGGGTGTTGGGTCCTGCTCTGTACTCAGTGATTATCTACCTATGGAATATGTCAAATTATTTAATGAACTACAGGCTTAGTCCTACAGATCATACGAAGGCAAAATCCCTATTTAAATCAATAGGCCAGAGTCTGCTCTGCTACCCAGTGTAAAGCCAGAGTAAACTGATTGAAAGTGATGGACTTACTCCAGATTAACATTGATCAGGATCTGACCCACTGGGTAAATTGCCTGAGGCTCCAGTTCTGCAAAAAACCCCTCATGGGTGGACCCTGCCCAAATTCAGAGGTTAATGCAACTTCGCCTAGGCAGGGCCATGCTCCTGCGGGGTTCACAACAGGATTGGGCCCTGATTAAATGATTTCAGGATTGGAGCGATAATTATTTCCTCACTGAGCACCCTGCATGAGAGGGCAAAGGCTAAAATGCAAATCGCTTTCTCTCTTTCTCCTCTGATCAAGAATATATTGCTTCCCTGCTGTTAAAATGAATTAATCTGGCACTTTAAAAAATGTGACTCAATCCAATAAATGAAGACAGGTTACAAGATGCCACATGGAATGATAATTTTTTTTTTTTTTTTTTTTTTTACATTTTTCAACTATTTAGGACAAAAAAAAGTTACACTGCTCGACTCGGTTCATTTAGTTACATAAATAAAATTTTTATAAATATCTCTTTATAAACAATATATAAATAGCTTTACAACATAAATACATTTATGCATGACATGGATTTTCAAACAGCAATGTTATACAGCTGGCTTCATCAGTCTTTTGGAAAAGCACTGTCCTTTGTCCTGGTGAGTGTTGGTATAGAATAAGATAGAGAGAACTTTTTAATCTTAAAAAAATAAGAAAACCCAAACAGCTGGTGCCATGACTCCTCGTACCGAAAAGAAAAACACAACCACGTCGTCTGTCCCATTTCCGGTGTTCTCTGCTCCTCTAGGTGTCGGCTGGGGAGTGGCCAGACATGGCCATAGGGGGGAAAATGTATTCAAAGCCCTGAAACAAACAAGAACAGGAAAATACCCATTAGTATTTCCTTTGTGGACAGCTTCCCATCAACACAGAGTGTGTCGTCCCCCCCCCTCCCCCCCGCCCGGAACAGTCCCAAGGGATGTTGGCATTGGGAAGTCAACGGGAGTAGAGGCCGCCCTACTGGCGGGATCAGGCCCCAAGCGTGCCATCTGCTTGCCCTAGCACTGCCCGCCAGCTTCCCTGCTGGTAGCACTTAAAAGCTGAATCCTGAGTTGCTGCCTGCAGCTGTCCTGACTCCAGTTGGAGTTTTGCTTCATTAAAAGCCATCTAAGGCCCTGCAGATTGGAGCTGTCAGTTATCTATACAGCCCCATTGCTGTGTGCCTGGTGTTGAGCTAGTCCTTTCCACCTGCAACGAGCTTTGCATCTTGCCCCAAGGGGCTGCATCTTGCAGCTAGATCAGCGTGCACGGGAGGGCCTCAGCGCAGGGCTCCGACCGCCACTCAGAGCTGGTGGCCGAGATCTGGCCCGTGGCAGAGATCAAACGGCATGCTGCTGTGTCTTGTTGCCACTGGGGTAGCAGAGCAGGCCCCTTGATGTGCAGCTATAAAAGAAGTTTCTTTCTGGGGAGAATTTAGTACATTTCTGAGCTTCAGGTGAGGGGGTTTCTTTCCAAAGTCCTGAGCTGGGCTGCTCCCTGCCTGGATAGTCCTTTTAGATCATTCTCTGAGCAACAGCAGGCGGTGGGACGACAAGAGCCGAGACCCTGTTGCTGTTTCTTATGTGCAGACCCACTAGCAAGCATAAAAGTCATTTGTGTCTGACGTTTAGGCACACGCACCTGGCCTCTCAAATACACCGACTGCAAAATGCCCGTTTGAAATGAACAGTGTCTCTGATCTCTCGTGTTAGGGCTGAATCTCTGTATTCTTCCATTTGCCTTGTTTTGCAAACGTCCATAGCACATGGGGCAGATCCTTAGCAGATACAAATAGGCCACGCTTCATTGATTTCAATAGATCTATGCCAATTTGGACCAGAGGAGGATCTGTGCCCAACTAGATTATTGCAGGAACTTAGCATATTGTGCTTGTGTGTAAAGTGCTCGACACACCTGTGGCCCTGCAGAAAGAAATAACTCGTGGCTTGGATTGCAAACAAGAGTGACCCTAAATGCTTAGTGTATCTGCATGTTGCCTGCTTAAAGAATCAGAGCCCTCGGACACTGCTTAGGGAACATAGAGTATACCCACACAGTCGGCCAGCAGTCAGGAAACCGCTAGTATCCCAAGGGCTGCCCTGTTATTGCTGATTAATGTGGTCATCGCTTGAAAGTGAAAATTCTGTTTCACATCGGACCTGGGACATACAACTCTGCCTGGAGACTTTTCACAGTCTAATACCTGACCAGATACAAAGGATGGGCTGGCAAAGGGATCTCTCAGGAGCTGTGTAAATGAACTGGAGAAGGCTCATGAATGTAAAACTAATGTTTCAAAATAAATGAATGGCAATATGGCTTAGAGCAAACCCTTCAGCCATGGCAGGCATTTGCTATGCATCCTTCACTCTCCTAAGCTACAGAAAATATCTCGCTACACTTCCGAGCCCCCCCTAGGCCTTCATTTGGAGCACACGGTAGGTGAGTAACGTCCTTTATTGGATCAGCGTCTGCTGGTGAAAGAGATGAACTTTGGCACTTACACAGAGCTCATGGAGCACATGGCATTTATGCAAGACACCCGTGACTGCGCAACTATACTTAAAAGTGGACTCTGTTAGCTTCCGTGGACTTCTCAGGGGTCAAGTTTAAACAGGAAAGAAGCTTGGTGAAATCGCTATTTAACCTGTCTAGGAGGCATTTATCAGTGGCAGGGGTTTGATACAATTCCATTGATGTGGTTAAGAGCTCATACAGTGAGGTTGCTGGGGGGGGGAGGGGATTTACAGTGGGGGAGTATACGGTGTAGTTTTCTAGGATTGTAAAGCATCAATACCATCTTCTAAAACAACAAGGAGTCTGGTGGCACCTTAAAGACTAACAGATTTATTTGGGCATAAGCTTTCGTGGGTAAAAACCTCACTTCTTCGGATGCATAGCTATGCCCAAATAAATCTGTTAGTCTTTAAGGTGCCACCAGACTCCTTGTTGTTTTTGTAGATACAGACTAACACGGCTACCCCCTGATACTTAATACCATCTTCTAATTTTCTGCTCTTACTAGAAGAGGGCATGGCATATAAACGAACACCAACCATAGGACTTAATCCGTACAGCTCACAGACTAATTAACTGTCCAATTAGTAAAAGTCCTGCCAGGCACCACCCCCTCCTTGGGAATCTATGTCTATACAGTGCACGGTCACCCCGGTGCCTGCTGTGATCACCCTGACAAAGCTACACTAACGAATCCCACAGCAGTGGCCCCAACCGTGGCAGTAACGCTGATAGACACTGCCATGGCTGGACCATCCCTGTAGTATTTTGGTTGTTAAATCAGGGCAGGTGCAGTGATTCCAAGCAATAGACATTGTTGCTATGTACTGTACATACAGTAGATAAGCAGGCATGTATGTGTGTGTATATATAATCTTCCAAGTTTGTGCCAAATCTTTAGAACAGTAGCAGTGCTAATTATAATTACCCATCGCCTCCAATTTAGGAGTAAACAGGTGCAAGCCAAATCTGGGGCAGGTTGCATGGAAAAGTGGCCAGTCCCGTAGATTTAGGACCCGGTGTCCTTTCAAATCTGAGGACTTTATCACTATATATTACAGTCCCACGCACCCCAAAATAAAGGATTGACAAGCACACCTTAGCTACATGGCCAAGTACATGGATGTCTGCTCTCCACTATGCCGGAGTTATTCCACTGAAGCCAGTGGAGTTACACCAGAGGGAGCGCAGAATCAGAAGCCTGGGATAGCACAAATGTCACTTCATGCTTTCAGACTGCCTCCCTCTTGGACACACAAAGAGACAGACTCTTGTGTAAAATCCATGTTCTGCTGTCTGGGCTCACCCCAGGGCAGATTAAATCAACAGCCCCACCACAAGAGGGATCACCCTTTGGTCACCTCCACGGAGGGCTGGCATTGGAAAGGCTTGTCCTAACCATGGTATGACTCTGCAATCATTACGACAGCACCCAGCCCCATAGCACCCCCAACCACCCAGTGGCAGTGATGGTAAGTGAATGCCCAGGAGCGTTTTGCTGGAGATAGGCAACACACCTAAAAGAAGAACAAGAAATTGGGCAGACTGGGCAATACCCTTCCTTAAAATACAGCTGCACGCTGCAGCCCCAGCCCCAAGCACTACTGTCATGCGACTGTAGGCGAACCTGGTCTCCCTGACACGCACGTATTTCCAAGTGTCTAGATGCCACCATAATGGGCGCTAAGAAACGCACTAGAACAGGCAAAGAAGTGAACTCGTACAGTTGAACAGTCACATCTTGACTCATACTAAGGTGGCAAAGATGCAGGACTTCAACTAAGCTGCCCTTTGAGCAGCCTGATTTTCAATCCGGGACTTTGATACCTGGCACGGTTTTTGGGGGTGGGGGCGTTCTGTACAAATTGAAAAAAGTGTTTTTTACCCCCTCAGATATTTTCTAGTTTGTCTTCTCAGCTCTTATTTTTTTGCTTCTCTGCCAAGACCAGTAGTTTGGGTGAACCCAACTGAATTCTCCAACGTGCCCCGCAGCCGTGCTTGGCCCTTAGAAAGAGGGGGATGCCTGCAGAGATGAGCACGGATGCTATGGGGATGGGCGTCTGGCAAACACCTTTGATCGTTCCAAGCAGGTGAGGCTGTAGCTTGATCCTAGTGGCCTTGCCAGGATCAAAACCAGGCGTCACACACTGGAATCTGGAGTTTCCCTAGGCTGCTCCTCCCTATTAAATATAAGAGTGACTGCAATCCGCTGTGTCCCCCCTGGGCCTTTCACCCTGCCCCACTGTGCATCCTGCTGGTTCCCACCACCCCGCCCCAGAGGTGGCTGCATTTCTGCCATGGGAGAGACACTCCCTGTATTGATACAGAGGCCAGGCCTGAAGCCCTTCCTGGAGGATTCAGTGCTCTGGGGTGTCCCTACACCTCTGAGTGCCCGAAGCTGGGACTGATCTATACAGTCTCTCTGAAGCATCTGGCCCCTGTCAGAGCCAGGTCACTGGGCTGGCTGGACCCTGGGTCTGAGCCAGGCTGGCCCGGGGCAGGGCAGCCAGTCAGGGGGGTCGGTTCTGCCCACAGGCTGGGGCATTCAGAGTCGCGGTGCAGGGGGGGCAGCTAGACCCAGAGGGCCAAGGCAGGTGCACGGGGACGCGGCTGCAGGGGGCACTCACCGCCGCCAGGGGTCGCCGCTCTAGCAGCCCAGGCCGCTCATGGAGCCGATCCGGTCCAGCTTGAGGCCGAAGCAGCCCTTGGACAGGCCCTTCTTGCTGACGCCCTTGTGCCGCCGCGTGCCGGGGTAGTCGCGCAGCAGCCGGGCCCAGGCGGCCCGGGACTTGGTGTCCACGCGCAGCTCCCGCAGCAGCCGCGAGCCCGAGCCCCGGCCGCCGCCCGCCGTCTCCCCTCGCTCGGGGCCCGCGGCCAGGCTCTCCGCCAGCTCGTGTCCCGGCGCGCTCCGGGGGGGCTGCAGGGCAGAGCGCAGGGGCACGATGCCGTGAAAGCAGCACAGACCCCCGGCCCCGGTTCCACCCCCCCCCCCCCGTCCCGAGCCCCACGGCCCCGATTCCAGCCCCCCGGCCCCGGTTCCAACCCCCCCCAGCTCGTCCCGAGCCCCAGGGCCCCAATTCCAGCCCCCCGGCCCCGGTTCCGACCCCCGAGCCCGTCCCAAGCCCGACCCCGATTCCAGCCCCCCCGGTCCTGAGCCCAACCTGCACCCCGGTACCGAGCCCCACGGCCCCGATTCCAGCCCCCCCCCCACCGGCCCAGTTCCAACCCCCCCAGCTCGTCCCGAGCCCCACGGCCCCAATTCCAGCCCCCCGGCCCCGGTTCCAACCCCCCCAGCTCGTCCCGAGCCCCACGGCCCCGATTCCAACCCCCCGAGCCCGGTCCCGAGCCCCACGGCCCCAAGCCCGGTCCCGAGCCCAACCCCTCCCGGCCCCGATTCCAGCCCCAGGGACCCCCCACTCCCAGTTCCCAGAGCCGGGAAACGCGGCGCTAGGGGACTCCCCGGGAGCCCGTTTTTCTCGGGCATCTCCCCGCCCGCCCGCAGGTTGGTGCAGCTGGACCCGGTGCCCCCTCCCGCGGCTTTTCCCGTGAGCCCGACCCCGCCTGGCCCCTTCGGGTCCCAGCCCCCTGCCGGCTGCTGCCGCCTCCCGCAATCTGCACCTCGGGCCGCGTTATGCACCTGCCGCCCGCCCCTGCCGCCCCCGGCCCGCGAGGCTGGACAGTGGCACCCCGCAGGTCGGGGGTGAAAACGGGGGCCTCGCGGCTCCGCTCCCCGCTGAGGTCCCAGAGGCTGGGGCGCCTTGCCCGGGGGGCGCGCAGGGAGCTCCTGAGATCCGGGGGGGGGGGCGGGCTGGGGATGCGGGGCTGGGATGGGGGGGATCTGCCCCCTCGTTATCCAGAAGCACCAAGCAGGGCTAAGGGGGCAGAGGCCATTGTCAAAGTTCCCCTAACTCCTCGCCTCTCCCTCCGGGGGATCCCCCCTTAGCGCGGTGGGGAGCCGGGGGTCCTGTCCCGTCCCTGCACGGAGCAGCCCCCCGGTTACCTTCTGCTGGGGCTGCGCCGCCGGTCTCGCCTCCAGCCGGATGGACAGGAGAGCCAGGGAAAGTCCACAAGCCAGAAGGTGTGAGATCCGCATCCTGGGGGGCAGGGCCCGGGGGGGGCTCGGAGGTCGCTGCGGCCCCGCTGGGAGAGGGACAGAGGGAGTCGCGGTTCCGCGCGGCGAGTCGGTCCCGGCTGCCTGCTTGGGAGTGCGGAGCGGGGCTTCTCCTTCATTCCTTTATAAGCCAACCTGCCCGGTGATGTCATGGGCGGGCCAGGTCCAACCCAGCCCCCTGCTTAACAATAGCCGGGATCTCGCCCGGGGCTCACTTCGCCAGGGGCACCTCAGAGGCACTCGCTGGGTTTCGGGCAGAAGTTGCTGTTCAGAAAGCGAACCAGCCCCCCCCCCGCCCCTTTTCACTGGGATGCTGGGGGCTCGGGTCCCTGCGGGAGGCAGCGGGGGGTGGCATGTGGGGCCGGGGTACTGCACGGGGCGCTTGGGGGATCTGAGCTGAGAACAGGGGCACTCCCCACGGGGGAGCCCGAAGTCAGCCCCGGCCCCCGGCCCGCTCCTGGGTGTGCTGCGGCGCAGGGGAGGCGAGCAATCTGCTTCTCACTTGGCGCTTTTCATTCAAACAAGGCGGACATCTGGGGGCTCCAGACAATGCCCAGTCTTTTTTTCACATGGGGGGGGGGAAGCTCCCGGTTTGCTCCCCCCCCGCCTCATCGGCTGCCTGCCCCGCTTTGGGGGCTTTCCCCTTGCTCACCTGCCAGGAAGTTGCACTTTGAGGCTGGGGGGGTTCGAGAGAACAGGGCGGGGGCCGCGGACCCCTGGTGTCGCCCGCCCCCCACACCCCCCAGCTGATCCCTTTGCTACAGCGTATGCACGGCCAGGGAGTGGGGGCTGCCGGGGCTGAGCTGGCAGCGGGGTTTGCGCCTCCCAGCTTGGACCGAGCCTTGGGCTTGTGACAAAGCAAATCTGGCCTATGGTGCGATGGGGGGGTGGGGGGAGGAAACCCCCCGGTACCGGGCAGTGTCTGCCCTGCCTGGGCTTCTTCGCCGAGCTCCTGCTTGCTAGGGGTCGCTTTGGTGCCGCTTTCCCTGCGCTGCCGGTTCCGCTCCAGAGCTCGCAGCGAGCTCCCTGGCATCCCGGGGGTTCCCTCCCCAGCCAGCCAGCGAGCGGGGCAGGAGCCCCGAGGCTCGACCCGCCCCCGGCTGCCCCCAGGGGCATCGGCTCGGTCCCACTCGATGGCAGGGCGAGGGCGGCTGCCCCGGCTCCCGGGCGCTAGCTCCGGGTGCGGCTGGGGGCCCGCGCGGTGCAGGGACGGGGCCCGGGGCGCTAGGCTCGGACACCGCCACTGAGCACTAGCATCCCGGGGCATTGCCAGGGGGAGCCACCCTGCTGCCCCCAGAAGCCGTGTCCCCGCCGCACAGCCAGGAGGCAGGCGGGGCTGGGGCAGGACAGGTGCTAGGAGCTCCCTGCGCCCTGGCTCTTACAGACCCGCCAGGCAGAGCCGGTCCCTTGCCCCCGGGAGAAGCTAGTTGGGGGGCGCTGATTACTCAGCGGGGATCCATCGCGGTCAGGCCCGCGCCCCCCACCCGGCTGAGTGCAGTGAGACACTGCCCATCCCACCCCCTGGGCTGCTGGGCACAAACGGGCTTGAGCCATGTGAACAAGGAACTGGAAAGCGAGGATCTCGGGTCCTTTTTCCGTCGTCGTTGCCAGGCTGGGATAGTCTGAGCTGCTTTCAGCTCAAGGGTTTGTTCCCGGGGAGTTTTGTGTGGGTGGCAGATAAAGGAGACTGGCGGGTGGTGCCATGGTGATGATAGGCACTCCAGGGCATCCGTTCAGGAAGGCTGTAACCGAGAGCAGAATTTAGCCCCATAGCTTATTTTCTGGCTAGAACTTATTTTTCTTTCCAAAAGAGCCTGTACAAAGGATCTAGCCGGGAATCTGAAATGCAGCCACCTCTGGGGGTGGAAGGAGGCAGCTTTTAACAGCTCACCGCAACACTAGGTAGTTTAGGAGAGGAAGGGAAGAAAGGCAGGCAGAATTCAAGTGGGAGACCAGAGTCAACTCCCCACCAGTGGCTGCATTTCAGTGATCTCTGGAAACCCCCTTTGGGATCGACTGCCCCAACGTGTCAGTATTAAGGGTCATGCTTATGCTCCAGGTTGGGAAGGGGCACTTGGCTGTGTCTAACCAAGGCGCGGTGCACTGATCTAGTCTGAAATGGCGTTCCTAGTCCCTCCCAGGCAGAATGCATCAGTGAGGACATGAGGGCCCAGCTCAGAGGGGGTAATGGGAGAATCTGTGGGTGCCACTTGCTAAGGTGCCCGCTGCCAGGTTACGCAGGGCTGCAGGGATAGCCGCGGGGCTGCATCATGTCCTGGCTGAGGCCTTACAGCTTTGCCCCATGTGCAGCCCTGGAGGCTCAACCAGTGAGGCTCAACCAGTGCCTTTTGGGGGCTGGAGGCTGGCCGTGCTTTCCCCAGCCAGGTGCCTGGGGCTCAGGGTGCTTTACCAACCCAGCCAGAGTTGTTATTCCAAGGACCCCGCTTGTCCACGGGCTGTAAAGACGTGTGGCAGGCTGTAGCCCACACCAGGCAAAGGTGGTTTCCTTTTCTGAAACCAGATCGAGCGTCCAGCCAGCTCCTTGGACGTGGGGATTGGGAAGCCCAGCGGTGGGAAGGGGCAGGCAGGGTTAATAGTGAGAAGGCCGTCCCTTTCCCTGCTGGGGCTTGGAAACCTTTTAGAGGCTGTGTCTGTGCTCGGATCTGACCCTGCAAGCCCTTACTCCGGTGAGGAATCCCATTGATTTCCAGAGAGCCAACTACCTGAGGTTCAAGCCTGCATGTGTAACCCATCCACCACTATGCCCTGTAGATGATCTAGGTGTCAGGCAAAGGGAAGAGCAGCGTGTGGGAGAATCCCAGGAGGACGTGATTACCCAATATCCATCGCTCTGAAAAATGCCACCGTTGTAAGGGTTAAACTGAAGGTTCCCGCCTAAGCCACAGGTGATTGCAGTGATGCGTTTTGCGGCTTGGGTTGGGGTTAACTGGAAAAGGAAGGAAGTGCAAATGCTCACATCCATATCTGGCAACGAATTGTTTTGAGTCAAACCTCCTAAGGGCCCCAAATCTCCGAGGTTTGTACTGTGTCTGCAGCCGGACTGATTGTGGCAGGTTCTTCGGCAGTGTCTGGGAGGGGGTAGAAGCGTTCCTCTAGGCCCCTTTTTAGACAGGGCCGGAGCACAGGTCCACAGAAAGGCTGGTAGCCAGGGGAGCTGTTGCCAAAGGGTGTGGATTCAAGGGTGGTGAGTTGTATGGGGCTGTGGTGCCTGGGCTCCAGCAAATTCAGGGCCTGGGGGGCCCGGCTCCACCAATGTTCGGGGCCGGGTCTCTCCCCCGCCTGCTGCCCCTGAGTGTCTCTGCCTGCTCTGGGCACCAGGGAACAGTACCGGGGGGGAAGGCTGAGGTGGCTGCTGCACCTGCAGAGGGAGGAGGTGCATGGCAGCCCCCCCCATCCCTCCTGGCAGGTGACTCTGAGTTAACTCTGGGGGGGCTTATCCTGACTGGACCTCCTGAGCAGCAGCCTGGGGGGGGGGGCTTGGGTGAGTGTTGTGCTGGGGGGCTGGGGAGGGGCCCTCCCGCGGAGCTGGCTGCTGCTGGTGGGGAAAGGGCTGGGGGGAGTCCTCCTCTCTGGCACCCCAGCCCCAGGACAGCCTGCCTGTTGCACCCCAAACTCCTCATCCCTGGCCCAGCCCCACGCCCCGCACCCCAACCCTCAGTCCCAGCCCAAAGCCCACATCCAGCACCCAAACCCCGTCCTAGAGCCTGCACCCAGCACCCAAACCCCCTCCCACACCCAGCACCCCAAACCCCCTCCCGCACCCCCTCCTGTACCCCAACCCCCGTCTCAACTCAGAGTCCGCACCCAAACTCTCTCCCAGAGCCTGCACCCTGCACCCCCTCCTGCACCCCAATCCCCTGCCCCAGCCCAGAGCCCACACCCAGCACCCAAACTCCCTCCCAGAGCCCACATCCCTCCTGCACCCAAACTCCCTCCCAGAGCCTGCACCCCAAATCCCCTCCTGCACCCCCTCCTGTACCCCAACCCCCATCCCAACTCAGAGCCCGCACCCAAACTTCCTCCCAGAGCCTGCACCCCAAACTCCCTCCTGCACCCAAACTCTCTCCCAGAGCCTGCACCCCCTCCTGCACCCTTCACCCCCTGTCCCAGCCCAGAGCCTGCACCCAACTCTCTCCCAGAGCCTGCACCCAACTCTCTCCCAGAGCCTGCACCCCACACTCCTGTCTGCACCCTAACCCCCTGCCCCAGCCCAGAGCCCACACCCAGCACCCAAACTCCCTCCCAGAGCCCACACCCCTCCAGCACCCAAACTCTCTCCCAGAGCCTGCACCCCTGCTGCACCCTGCCCCAGCCCAGAGCCCACACCCAGCACCCAAACTTCCTCCCAGAGCCTTAGGCGGGAGTGGGAGGGGGGAGAGGCGGGACTTGGACCCATTCTGGGCACCACCAAAAATTATACAAACCTGCTGCCCCTGTTCTGACCTATTGCAGGTCTTGCTGGACATCACCACAAACTCACTAGGGTCCAAGGCCTTGTCCCTCCATCTCAGACTAGTGTTTGGGAACCTCCTGGCTGGTCAGTGACGTTCCATGAGCAACAAGAGCAGTGGCCCTCTCCCTGGAACAGAGCTTTGAAGAGGAAAAGGACTTCGCAGCTTCCTGGTTAACGTTTTGATTGAAATACTGAGCCATAAAGCTGCGGTGAACTGGTCCGAAAGCCAAGTGGGAAAAGTCTGACGCTGGGCTCAACACATCCAGAGATGTTATGACACTGGAACAACTACATTGGATCTGGATTAATGGCGACTGCTTGGCAAAGGACTTCATCTGAGGTGCTGGGAAAGCAATAATGGTGCGTGCATAAATGAATTAATCAGAGATGTGGCCGTGCTGCCAGCATGATGGAGGGTGAGCTGCCGACCCTCGCCTAGTGCATGTGATGATAGTCTCCGTCCATCCACACAGAGGACTCAAACCTCTTTTGCTGAGGTTGTTTAAAACGCAGTTTCAAACCGGTACAGCTTCAAACATTTTAAACACCGTTTTGGCTCTAGGTCCAAAGTAGATCCCAAGCTTTCAACCCACGTTCTAA